ATTATAATAAACTTAATAACAGAATTAAAATCATACGTCAAAAGATATCTTAAAAGAAAATATTCCTTGAAGGTTGTTGCGTAACAGTAGAATAAACACAAAATTCGGAGAAGAAAGGGCGTACCCAAGGTACTGCCCCGAAAAGAGCTACGTGGTAAGTCGTATAAGTTATCTAATTACAACTTCAGTGCGGACAATGAAAAATACTACATGTTCACACTTTACGTCACCTCTAAGAAAAAGAGGTGTCGAACGTGCTAAACTAAAAACTGAAAACTAATTTCCTGATCGGGAATTCGATAGGGATTTAGCCTAAAAACGAGAGTATTAAGTGGATAAAAGTATAAAGGAGGGTCATTTCCAGGAAATTCCTGTCCGGGATCAAATTTTATGGGGTAGAGTCATTTTCTTAGTAACTAATTATTTTTTCAGCAACATAATGAAAATATACTGATATCTAGCCGCAACCCGCAGTTTACTTAAAAACATCTGTCTCCATGTCAAATTCACGATCATAACAAGGAAAAGGTAACCAAACTCTACCTGTAAGATAAGACTGCCAGAAGGAATAAGAAATGATCAACTGGCTTATCATTATGTCTACTGAATGGCTTATGCAAATATGTTATTTCCATTCATTTTACAACACTAATATAGGAAGCCCTTACAATGCTTTTAGATCAGATATATTTCTATTTTTATCGTTTTACAAGTTGATGGTCGCCTGCGTACATTGTCAGATTTAACTCATTTACATGGTATGACTTGTCGTTTTGGAGCATGTTCTACAATAAGGACCCAAGTGCCGTACTTTGGGGACAGCCACGTTCCATCGTTTTCCATTCACTAATGTGGTCATTAATCTTCATTCTGTTGAGCCTCTTGTCGAGGAAAGATCTAATTAAGTCCAACGAGCTGCTGCCGAATCCGTAAGTTCCCAGCTTCTTTACAGTTAGAGAATGGCATAAGGAATCGAACGCCTTCCTCATGGCGGTTGATAGGATTGTAACGATCTCCTTTCTATCCACAGCCTGCTGCCATTCCTCGAGTAATGTTAGCAGAGTTGTTTCGTAACTATGCTGTCTTTTGTAGGCCGTCATTCTTTGATATAAGGTTGAGTCGAAGTGACCTACTATCCGCTTACTAAGTAAGTGTTCAAATATTATGTCTATACAGACGGGAGATGTGATTGGACGGTAATTCTTTTCTTCTTGGTGGCCACCCTTTTTAAGAACCGGAGTTCATGCTCCCCTCTTCCCGGCAGTAGACCGCTGGCTCAGTCTGATGTTGTTATTGTAGAGGCTTGTTAGAGACGGCGCTACTCCGCTAGCTATCTTCTTGCGTAAGGTCGATAACTTTCAAAGCGATTTGGTACAAAGATCTCAACCATCGCCAAAACTTCCCTGAGTGGCTTTCGCCGATTGCTCAGATCGGCCAATAAAATCACCGATATCTAGCAAGTTGGATAAATAAATGACTGTCGATATATGAAAATCATATATGTTTAAAAAAACGGATATCGAAGCGATCCTCGCAGTTATGAGCTCTACTTAAGCAGTAGTGAAAATAAGGCCTGATTAATAGTTAAAACAAGGCCTGATTTCACATATATAACTCAAATAATCGGGTCAAAGAGTTTTATCATATTGCTATGGCTTGTGGCCGATGTAGAGTAAAGTGTGAAAGCGTTTATTCCATTGTTCTAATATGATAAAGTGAATTTGGCACCAGGATTCAAACAATCCTGTGTTCCTAAATGGGGTTAAAATCGCAGGTAACCCATAGAATATGTCATTTAGACAGGTAACCTCCTCCGTAGTGATACAATTCTAAAGTCCCACCGTGTTTTCATTGTTAAGAGAGTGTAAACTAGAGTAATTCCCGCCCACTACTCAAGGCTCAAATTACTACCTTGTGGAGATAACGAAGGACAATTCAGCACTAAAATATCAGAAGAAACTGTTCTTCATTGAATTGGTGTTCTATGGTTTTTTATTTTTTTCTAGATCAGCATCCCTACAGGCAAGTTTTCCGCCCTTTGTTCTTTGCTCATAAATCATTTTGATTTCACAATATTGATTTTGGTGTTCTTACAGCTCTGAATTTTTCAATCTCAGTACGTCAGAAACTGGTGTATACCTCAATCACACCAAAGCTTAAACATGTTTCAAAGCTGTTTTGTCAAACACTGTTTAAATTTATTGTCAGTATAGAGGCTGCTTGAAACGATGTTTGTCGACTTCAAATTTAGCACATTGAAAGAAACGTTAGTGATTATTTGAATACTATGGACGATTCAGTTTTAGTTTTCCTTCACTGATTTTCATTCGGTTAAACCCTAGTTGACTAAACATGTTTTGCTGGTGTGAATGGGGTATTAGTTTGTAGTTTGAGAGCATGAGAGCATTTCTAACCATTATCCACTTGTAGGTGTAAGGTTAGTTTTCCTTGATATCCTTCTTGGAATCAAGATAATTTGAGGGGAAAGGTAAGAACAATACTTCACGCGCTCAGATAAAGGGAGAAATGAATTCTGGTAAAGTGAATAGAAACAGACAGAGTTCCCCAGTGAAGAAAGCTTATGGGGACTGATATCACGAAAGTTGGAACAAAAGAGCCGAGAGTTGATTAGCAAAATGGAGGTAAAAAACCATTTCGCAGTTACGCTAAATGAAGACCTTCTTAACTTGTTCGGTTTTGGTTAAAAAAAAATGCTTAAGTCGAGGGATCAATATAGTGCATTTTAGCACTTTGGGCCATAATGGTCGACAACGGGTAAATCATTTCATCTATTATATACTGTACCCATAGACATTGACAAGTAACTTTATTCTATAACTGTCAGCGATATGAAGCAGATTATTTGAGACAACGAGTATGAATATAATGAAGGTTTTAAATACAGTTTCAGTTCACTTATCCAAAATAATCTAATTCATTTTGCTTTTGCTGTAACTTTTTTTTCTATTGAAAGTAAAAGGAAAATCGTACCTTCTTTTCCAAGAACAGCGCACGTCATAGTCACCACGAGACAGATTATTTTTAAATTCATAATGTAACAAAGGCTGTGTAACGTCTTTGTTTAAGATTTGCAATTGAAGACTTCTCAATGAAATTCAAAGACAATCTATCGCATGGTTAAACTTGCTTCATTACGTTTTATTGCAATCATCCCACCCCAAGCCTGCCACCTGTGAGACTTGAAACTTTAGATATTGATAGAGGTTTGACAGTCTTGTCATTTGAATCAAAAGATAAGCGCAACACGTTGGTAACCGTAAATTCCTTGCATTTATCCGCGTTGAGCTGCATATTCTGCTCATGAGACCAGTGCTGGACGGCGTCAACGGCGTTCTGGATGTTATCACGGCCTTCCTTAGGCACGATTTCGGCTATGGTGGTATCGTCCACATACTTCCACACATGTACGTCACTAACTCTCAGGTCATTTATCATTAAGATGAAAAGCCAGGAGCCCAGTTTTGTGCCTTTTGGCACACCAGCAGGGACAGACCCTCATTCTGAGTTGATACGCGGTGATACCTTTGCGTCAAGAAATCTACCACCCACAGGGCCACGCCTTGGGGGATAGATAGGTTAAAGATCTTGCATGGAAGCAAGTGCGTGTGGATGACAAGAGATAGAGAGAGACCGAAGGGCGACAAGGTTTGTACAGAGCTCGCGTCGCCAAAGATGTAGAAGATTGGTTAAGACCAGATCCAAGATCCGATCACCACGAGTTTGTTTGTTGCTCTGGGTGATAAATGGTGCCAGCAATCAAACGCGAGATGCCACGCGGAAGCAAAGTAAGTTAACATGTGGTGTGTGAACACGCTCTCATTATTAGTGTATCAGCACGAACGTTTATGCGCCTGCGATAAAGTGTGAGGCCTTCATTGAGTAAAAGGAGCAGTCGAGTGGTCTGCAAGGGTTTTATTACTAATTATAGTGCCAGGTTCCCGGCAAACCTCTCGCCAACTACTCTCAAATCTTCCCGCTGGCGGAGAAACGCGCGGCCCGCAGCGCTAATAATAAAGGGCTACTACCATGCAAAATAGCATGTGGCCGATTGGATATCTGCTAACTTTAATTAATAATTAAATGGCGAACAAAAAGCTAAGAACATAAATTGCAAAGTAATTGATTCAAACCCTCAAGAGAGGAAGAGAGATAATTTCCGATTTTGATTCTTTTTGGCAAGTGGGGAGATCTTTTTTAAAACGTATATCAACAAATTTAACGAGCGGCAGAATTAGGCGCTCACTCTCCACTCATCATAAATTTCTAAAATGACAGATCAAAGAAGACAGATAGGTGGTAAACAAAACACAAAGTAAAACAAGCACAATGCACTGAAAAAGGAAGTCAAAATGTTTTTTGTGTGCTTTTTTAAGTCAAATCAAGCTCTCGTGAATCTGATTTTTTCATCGTTTACTTTCTGGCAAAGATATTACCAATCAACACAAAATTACGAGCTAACCTCTTATCCTTCCTTGTCCTTTTTCCCTCACTCATTCGGCTCTTTGATACTACCAGAGAAGTGGATATAGATACAAGAAATCTATTTATGTATACGCTCTGTCTTTTAACGTTTGGTTGAGCTATAAATTAAAACCATAGAATTGTAGCTACCAATTTGGATCTTGCAAAAATAAGTTAATAAAAGTTGGTTTGAATAAAGAAATACTACGTATGGTATGTTATTATTAATCGAATGGGTCTTTACAGCACATGCTTTGATTCACGCCTTACGTGTTAATCACCAAACGACAAGTCGGCACGTTTTTTTTAGAATGTCACTGCTCAAGCGCCGTTTGCTAGTTTTGCTGTTTCTTCTTGGTCTTTTCTGCTTCTTAAATTTAATCTTAAATTATTACGAGGATAAAGTTATTATCAATTTCTTTCGTCCAGTACTGAGTGTAAAAAATCAAGATACCGCCTTTGGAAAGGATGATTTACACCTAAGCCAGCACCTTTCGCGCGTTCGAAGAGAGTTTAAGATGACACTTGATCAGTACGAAACATCAGGAGGAGAGTTTGGCAATAGTAGTATTAACGCTTTCGGCGTAAACACATCGTTTTACCATTCGGAGTTGTATGGAGAGATGTTCAAGCTTTATGGGAAGAAAACTAACACTGCTTGCCGAAATGCGCTATTCCTGCTCATTCAGGTCCATTCCAGTCCGGAAAATTTTATGAGCAGAAAGGCAATCAGATTGTCGTGGGGAAATATGAAGAATTTTATCGGCAAAGGGCAACAAAGTATCAGCTCATTGAGGTAGGTATATAAAGTACCAATAAGCTTATCAGTTTCAGCTGCTCAGACTGATATAAAAAAGTAAAGTTCACATTTTAATTATTGGGTAAATTTCGAGTTACGGTCCCCTTAAGAGAAATCGGACAACGAAAGAAATACATTTCTCTCCCATAAAATGGGCTCGAATCGTCATCCTTGAATTTATTTTCATGTTCGCCGTCAAGATTTGTGTTGGCACCACAAGACAGCATCTCTTGGTAGATCATGTGATATTCGTTACTCTCATTACCTTTATTTCTTGATCGTGTGTTGATAAGTCCTAAGTTGAAATTCCACATTGCTCCCGCAGGAAGTGAAAAGTATAGTGAGCACGTATTCTAAATAACAAATTTATTTATGTTTAGGAAGTCTACACGCATGTGCAGTCAGTTTGATTGTAGTATCTCTTCAAACACGTACCCACGGTGCCTCTGCCCCAAACAAATGTAAAACCTGCAATTTTCAATCAGAAGATCTCCTACACGGTACCCCAATTCGATTTTAGATAAAAGTTTAATTTTCCGCTGAGGGTGCATTAGATCATTCAGGACAGTATCCAGTCCGATATTGGGAAAAAGTGAATTTTCGAGACAGCAACGCCCAGGAAAACGTCACCTAAGCACTGAATTATTATTTCTTTTTGACATTGGCTCCATGTAGCTTTCATGTCTATTTATAACATGTGAATGCAGCGTTGCGTTCATTGTAAAAAAGTGACTAAATTATCGTCGAGGTTTCTGGTCCAAGATTATTTTGGAGAAAAAACCTGGAATAACCTTGGAATTAAAATGTAATCCTCACAAAGACATCAAACATGACAAACACGTGTTGAAAATCCCTTAACAGATAAAACACTTCACAACACAAGCGGTGTGATTAGCTAATTCTCTACTTATCAGCCCTCGTAACGCCTTGGTTATGTAAAAAACTGAAAAAACTTTGTTTCCTACCCACTCCACTGTTCGTGTATCATATCAGTTTAATTTTGAACCCTGACAGAGTCCACTGGTTCCGAGCAATTTCTTTTTTCATACCCAGACTGAATTCCGTAGTCCGTAGTCCATGGTCCAAATTTATTTTTCCGTAAATACGCACTTTGTCGTCCATTCTTTACATCAACTACATACGCATTTAAATTTCAAATAACAAATTAATCCATAGAATCCCTGCGGATAACGCTGGCCTAATTTAACTGAATAAAACTGTCACCCAGACTACGTTTACAATGTTGATGAATTTTTCAGCTTTACTGAAGATGAATATGAAGTATTCTTGACCCCGTAGACAAACTAGAGAAACCAGCTGGAATCAAACAAAGAGTTCATTTTGATCTTCAACTGTATAAGAAACTTATTATACTGACGAGATTTCCCGACAGTTTGCGATTTTTGGAAAATATTTATAACCACACTATTACTAGTTACAAGATGCTAAATATCAAGCGCCTGAAGCCATTTGTTCTGGTGATTTCCATGTTGTGTTTTTGCGTTATGGGTGTATTGACTATTTTCTTCTCGAGATACGAAAACAAAGTCCGTGTTTCACGTAATCTTCCGCAAGCAACCAAGCAGAGCGCTGTTGGCTTCGATTTGAAGACAAGCCTTGATCATCTTCGAAATAGTTTTGAAATGTCACTAGATCAGTACAATTATTCAACGAGGAACTTTAGCGAGAAGTTCCGAGAAGCCCGCCTTCGGAGTGAATTATTTTACCGCAAACTGGATTCGCGTAGTAAGCGGCATTTTGTCTGCAATAATGGGCTTTTTCTGCTGATTCAAGTCCATTCCAGTCCAGCAAATTTTAAGAGTCGACAAGGTATTAGGTTGACATGGGGCAACATGGAACGCTTTATTGGCCATGATCATCAGGATATTAACCGTAACTATACTTTGAGGTAAGTATCACTCATTTGACTAACAAAAGGCTCGGTAAGAAAAAAAAGTATTGGATTGTTAAAACACTTTACAAGGAAATCTAGCTGAAAGAAAACATGGTCAATACTTAAAATTTACCGGCGGGATTTGGCGAAAAATTTTAACTCTCAATTTTACGAGAAGTTCCTTTTAAATTAAGATCTGAATTGAAACAAAGGAACAAAATAAGGTTAAGCTAAGCCGTATTGAATAGGATTATGAGTTACATACGTTAAAACTGGAAAAATTCTCCGCAAAAATTAGTCAAAATGAGAATGCTCTCTTTTTAACCTCTAACTTTATCATTCAGATTTTAGCCCTAAATACTCGAATCTTGCACTTAGTTGAATTAAAATCAATTTCCCTAGGATTTTCTCCACCAATACAAGTATTAATTTATTTTCAATACTTGCAACATTCGATAACTCCAAATCATGCAAGCTAGAAATTACTTTTCTCCCATTAGGGTCCTTTCTTCGTAATGGTTCCTTCATAGAACCCTTTTGTCGATTGAGGTGCGATCCCCTGTTTCGTTTTGTCAGAAAAATAAACTTAGATGAAAGCGGGTAAATTGAAAGACAAAAAACTTCACTATATTTGTGTTTCAATTATTCAAGTGTCTTCTCGGAAGGTGACAAAAACTGCAAAATTTACACAGCTGTAATTCTTTGAATAACCTAATTTTGCTAACCAATGATATTCGGTTCTACAAATTAACATAACATCGAACAAATTCATCCCTGGCTGCCTGAGAGTCACAAAATTTCTATTTGAGTTATGGACTCCTCCTCATAATGAACTTCGCTTTTGACTACGAACCGGGTGCGAGAGTAACATTTTATATTCTCTTTCAGGGTTTCAATAGGGTTAACCGTCCTACGTCAAATGAATGCATACATTGTAATTAACTACTCGAGGCTGGGCGCTTATTATATCTTTTTTCCTAACTACAGGGTTGGCACCTATATTCGAGGTTCGGCGCTTAATCGAATAATTCCGGTAGTTAAGATACTCAAATAATTCAAAAATATAAATGTTTTCACATTTTTTCTGTGTAAGCAAAAGATGAACGTGAAACGTTAAACTAAAATCAATCACTTGAGTACTGTGGCGGCTTTGCATTACTCGTGCTTTAGTCGTGCATTAGTAAATACGGCTAAGAATTTGCACGTTGATCAAAATTTGTTTTGGTTCGCTGCAAAATTGCAGGTTGGTCGAAACATATGATTTTGGCAGGAGATGAATTCGTTCTGTGGTAAGGAAAGAGCCGAACGATTTGGGGGCCAACTGGTAAAGGTCTGGGCACACTCTTTTTAGGTGACGGGGCGAACTCGCAAAGGTGGAAGGAGTGAACTTGCAATGGGGCGAAACCACTATGAACCCAGTAGAGGCTAGAAGAAATTATAGCAAGAGTGATCGGTTGATCCGGAGATGTTACTCCTCCTGTGGTAGCGGCAATATCCATATATGAAGCAAGCAAGGAAATTAAGATATTTCTGAAACATTTCTGCACAACACAGGATTCGTTTCGTCTTGTTCGTTCGTGAAGCCAGCTAGTTGATGAGCATTTTAAAAACACTTTTCGGCATCTAACGGTTGGCTTCTTTTCAGAGTCCAAGCCGCCAAAAGAGATAGAAATATTCATTTATCAATTGTATTTTTTTCTTCTCTTTCAGGTCTTGGAAAACAGTATTTCTTATTGGTCAGAGCTCTGACCCCAGATTGAACGACCTCGTTCTCCAAGAAGCTAACATCTACAAAGATATTATGATTGGGTCTTTTAAAGATACATATCGTAATCTTAACATGAAGATGATCTTTAGCTTGAAGTGGCCGCTGGAGCAAAAGTGTCGCGTCTCCTATATTCTTAAGACAGACGAGGATTGTTACGTGAACATTTGGAATCTTCTTCATTGGCTAAGGAGCTATCATGAAGCCAACGGGTGGCGCCCTCTATACGCCGGTCGAGTTCAAACAGAGATGCCAGTTGTACGGGATACCAAAAGTCGCTACTACGTCTCGGAGGAAGATCACCCCGCGGATATTTATAAACCGTATGCTTCCGGAGGAGGATATGTGATAAGTGCAAGTTTACTTCCGGCACTTGTCAATGTTTCACGAACATCACCGATCTTTGCAAATGAAGATGCACTACTCGGTTCGCTGATGTACCGGATCGGAATACAATGGACCGACAACCAGAAATTTTTACCACTCATATTTTGTTCTCATTTGAACAAGTACCGTTTTCGAGACATGCACATGTGCGGTTTATCGAGACAGATCATTTTGCATGGCATAAGAGGCAGGCTGCAACTAGAAATGCATTTTAATAGCGCCTTGTATAATCACTTTCCATCGTTGTGTTCCTCGCATATGAACTACGAAGACATGCGGGACGTGTGCGAATGATTAAGTGAAAATTTTGAGCTACGTTATTGTGTCAGTGCTGGTGTGGACTTACTTGTCACCAGCTTTAACCCGTTTCACGCTGACTTTAAGACTTTTAAGACAAGTAGTTTTGAGACCTTTAAAAACAATCAAGAGCCTCTTTGATTGGTGATCATTTCCTTTATTCTCATGACCTTGATGCTTTATTTAGGGGCGATACTAAGGGGAGAATTTAAATACTGGTTAATCTGAGGAGTTAAAGGACTCAACGACGCGGAGGATAGCGTAGATCGCAAAAAGAAAGAGGATGTTTGGGTCTGGTCAAGACTTGTCTCCAGCTCTCTTTCTCCTTTTGCTGTGTGCTTGAGAACATCGTACTTCATTAACAAAGCTTCCGTTAACTAGCTGAACACCTGCTACTAGCTGTCTTGTTATCAAAAGTGTCGCTACGACTGAAGAGAAAAAGAAAAATGTTTAATTATTTTCTCTAAGTGAATCTTATTACATCGGTCATCTTGCTTAAACAGAATTAACGCTGATGTAGCGTGGTGGCCGTTATAAAAGAGGCAAGGGTGTAACATATTGAAGTGCATGCCCATCGAAAAACTTATCGATGAATCGCCTTGTAAATCAAATTACTTTTGTCAGCCTACACGCACTATTACTCACACTATTTTAGAGAATAGTCCGTAATCAAGAGAGCATGAACTTAACAAAATCTCTTTTTTCAAGTATAACCTGAACTACTGTTGAAATACGGAAGGGTGAAAGTTCGTATTTTATGTTTTTGTTTTGTTTGTTTGTTTGTTTGCTTTTTCTTTTGGGGGGGAAGGGGGGGGGTTGGTCTAGCCTGTTCCAGACGTTCAATGAGAAAAACGAAGCGCGATAGTTAACGGAATAGAAAACGTAGCGAAAGCAATAGAGGAGTAAAAAACCGAGGGAAGTCTGGGTCTGAACGCGTGGAGAACGCCGTTCTCTACTCGACTAGGCCCAAACTACCCTCGTCTTTTGCTCGGCCGCTATTATCACACCGTTTTCTATTTCGAAAGGATTTCGCACCGTTTTACTTGCTGAACGCCTGGAAAAGGCTATGTCTTTTCTTTTCTTTTTATCATAGTCGAGGTTATTGTTGCTTTGATCTTGAGTTCAGCCAAGACTATTTGAGACCATTTATGAATAAATTTCTTTCTAAAGGATCAGGTCAGAGATTTTCTTATAGCGGTTAGTAATTTTGCACCCTTTCTGATGCTTCAATGGATCTTAATTATGAATGTGGAGAGGACGAATGCGATACCATCAGATGGCCAGCTGAAACAATTGCAAGTGATTGTAAACGATTACGCTATTCTCTAAGGTAATTTGACACTAAGGTTATAAAAGAAGTGTCAATCAAGGCGAACATGATTAGAAAGTTATGTGAAAACTTGATTAAGGTCAGTTTTTGAGTCGTGCTTTCGAAATATCGTTTATTTTTTCTTCTATCATTCAGCAGGCATATCAGAAGATAATTTAATAACATGCTGTGCAAGATTCTAGTTCTTTGCATGGGCTGAGCGTGAAGAAGAGGTTTAAGTTTTCAATATGAAAAGGCATAATTTAAGCCCTGAGTTGGTAGCTTGCGAACTGAATATACCCTTTTTGCATAATTCGTCAGTTTAATTTTGAAGCTGAGGTTACTTGCGGGTTACTTGACGAGACTGGATAAATCCCTAAAGAGACCTGACCAGGAAATCTTTCAAAGTGTTTGGTTAGATTGATGTACTATATGAGGTATCAAGTTTTTTGTTACTTGTTCCGGGGCCGCGAAAAAAATGAGCCAACAACCAACTCTTGTTAAATCTGGTTTTATTGATCACATAGATGTGCAAAGAAAATAATGAAAATAAGCCGTACATTGAGCAATATTAAAGCGTTCTTTACCGACTCCCAGCCCGGATATGATATACAAATTTTGCCGGATAAATTTAGGTAATAATTTTCTCATGACTTAAAAAAAAATGGTTCTTGCAAAAAAAGTGTATCTGACTTATTTAGTCTAAGTTAAAAAATATTTTAGATAACGGGTTTTCTCTCAGTAGTCCATGGGCTTGTTTAGAGTAGGAAACTGAATAGTTGCAATGTTTCATATTTTTAGATTGAGAATTATTTTAAAAATACAATAATGGACTTGTACATGTTTACATAATTAAACTCCTTTAAACACTGAAGGGTTGGAAGGATTCTCGAGTTCTCTAATCCTCCTTCTGCTTATATGAAGCTATGTAACTGAACAATTAAAAAAATCCTCTTTTGGTAAGAAATAATTTAAAAGGCTATTCCTTTGATCAATTCTTCGTCTCTTTCAAGAGTCAATATGTAGAGCGCCACGGCAAAACCTGTTCTTTAACAAGTAAACGGTCAGGATTGACTAAGGGGCGGAGGGGAGGGGTTAAGAGGATTTTGGAAGATCACATGGTTTTCAGAAAGAAAGGAGGCTGGATCAGTCGTCGAGCATAAAAAATGATTGCCCATTAACTGTCTAAAACCCTCTTATTCCTCCCCCCTCTCTCCACCCTTTATCCCGGGCGGTAAACAAGAAATGGTCCCTAATTTGCAGTCATTGTTGTCTATTGGTTTTTTTTACAGCTGCATCTGTATAAACAATCTCTCGTCAAGAAAATTAAAAATGTCATTTCATTAAGAATCCCCATGAGGGTTGATTATTGACACTAAAGATCTTGACCTGTCTTCGGACTTATGTTTCTATCTTCTAGAAATGTTTCTTAATTGATAATGTATCTTAATTTGCACTAGTGGCTGATTTGATTAAAGAATGATTCAGAAGTTTAATTTCAGTCAAAGGAGATCTTAGCCCGATTCCAAGAGTACATTTTTGCCAAGTCCCTATTCGTTATTCAGTTGTAACTGTAAAACAATATTAAAACAATCGAATCACTGATTTCGCTGAAGGCCAATTACCTTGTGAATTCATTCACTTGAATGAAAAAGAATGATGCTGCAAAATAGAAGTTAATCACAGACAATTACATGGATGTTATTTCCGTGTTTTATCCGGCAGAATCGTATGGGAACTGAGATGTACTGAGCATGATAATTAGCTCTACGATCAAAGATTCTGGAACAAATAAGTCACGGTTGACTGACCGGTGTAATATGTTTGTTTAGTGACAAGTGACAACACCTCGCTTTCTTAACACGGCCTGGAAAAAAAATATTTCCTTTGTTTCTGAGGCTGAGGTTCTTCAGCTGCTGAAAAGTGCCAGAGAAGTACAATAAGTCGCACCTTCGAGACTTTTAGCGTGTCAGATTTCCTTTGTTATGTTTTCCCTTTTATAAACCATTCATTAGCTGGGAAATTACATCAGGGCGGCCAATCGTTGATTACTGATTCGGAGAGGAAGACGAACCTTCACGTACGGTAAGTTCAAAATATGCCACGGATATGCCCTTTTAAATGAAAAATACTCACATGCACGGTACTCGAAAATTTATCGATAAGAATAGTAAATAAGATATGTTGAAAACTTCGATCTATCTACTCAAAATAGACAAGGACATCCAAAATCAAAATTAGTGAGCTCATTTTATCGACAGACATATTCTCAGTTGCACTCCAGAGGAAGAGTAAAATTCCCGGCGAATTGATCCGCTAGTCAGATATAATTGATGCATGTCTTGATTTCATAAGTATCTTTTTTTCGCTTTCGTTCCCCATTTATAGAATCGGCTTTGCACTGCAATTTTCTTCTGATCAAGAATCATTTAGACTTTCGCAAAATAAGACTATCCCCAGGCCTGTAACTTGAAAAAATAAACGAGACCAAATAATTTCTCTTTTTATGACTGTGAGTGTTTTTTTTTTTTCATCATGAATTATGATCTGAACGCAGGAATTTATAGACCCCTCAAATAAATACGACTTAATTGAATTTGTGCCACTCAAACTTCCTTAATTTTTCGCGGATAAAGACCTGAGCGTCCAAATGTCAATTCCAAATTACCAGTTTAACTCCGTTCTCTCCCAAGGTTTCATGATTACCTAAATTTCACTCAAGTGTAAATTAAAGAGATCTTAAATTCTTGATGAGCTAGGGGCTCACGGGTGGGGTGGGGATTAGACCCAGGAACTGGAGGGAGAGGTATGTGGGTACTATTATGTAATTATTAATACATTTAACGTGAATTAAAGGGTGTTGCGTGCTATTGTTGTTAGTTCTTTTTCTCTGGTGAGGGAAACCACAAAAATTAGCTTGCAAAGATAGGAAAACCTTGAAAACAGGTTGTCAATGAATATTTTGAAAATATTTCATTATATTTTGTTTTGTGTTGATTTACTTTGTTCGTTTGTTTGTTTGTTTGTTTTTACTACAGCTCAGAAAGCGGAAGGAAAATAAACCGAACGACGTAGGCAACTACATGGCTTCCCATTCAGGCAAATTAGTGGTGGCGTTTGTCGTCATCGCCATACTGACACTCCATGTAGCAGGAAAAGTGTTCAGTGTCAGCAATTCTCAAATCGGCAATAAACGCACCATTAGTGACATCCAATTTGATGGAACGATGGGTAAGATTCAAGACTGCATTGACAACTTGAAAGAGCCTGGGGATGAATGTGTCATTCAGCCCGGTAACTACCACGAACAGGTGACCATTACTAACAAGTTCGGAAGCGAAGAGTCTCCGATCGTTATCCGAGGTGATCCGAACGCTTTGACGAAGCTAGACGGTACCGTGCCTCTACGGCCCGAGAAATGGGAGAAAATGGACAACGGGGCTTATAAGGCTGTCATACATCATGACATAACCCAGCTTTTTATAGACGACGAAATGATGACCAATGCACGCTGGCCGAATTCTTTGTGGTCTGACAAAACAATATTTAACAGCAAGTTCTGGGCTAAGTCCGCTAGGAGTTCTACGCGCGGGCTCATGATAGATGGAGGCCAGCATAAACTGGCCGACAGCGGGTTCAATGTAACTGGGGCGATGGCTGTACTGAATGTTGGGAGTTTTTGTACTTTTACTAGAAAAGTACTAAGCCACGGAAAAGGTCAGTAACAATTTATATGATTGGGGCATTTCTACAATGTCTTGCATTTGTCATGACGTAAGTCTGGTATAGAGCACCATTTCATAAAACCGAGGTGTACGATATGCTCGTCTGTTCTTTTCTGCGTAAGCTGCTGATAACCCATTGCTGAGCAAAGCCCCTTAAATTACGAGCTAGTTCCTCAGTATTTCCTTAGAAGGATAGCGCATTTTGAGGTAATTCTTCACGGCTAGTTCATCAGACAAGTTGGAAGCCCAGAAATAAGATAAGATTTACGTTTCTCTTTGATACTGATACCCAACCAAGACAATCGTCCGCCTCAAACTCAGTGTATATTATTGAATGATTCCCTCGACTTCATCTTAGGGACTATTAATGAATATTCACTACGCTCTCAGTGAAGATTTTTAATCATTCTTCCCACAGCAAAAGACAGGTTCACCTATAAAGATGACTTTGGAGCCAATTTGAACTTTAAACCGAAGAACAACCAATATTTCTTGGAAAGTAAATTAGAATTCCTTGACAATCCGGGTGAGTGGTTCTACGAGAAGAAAAATGGCGTTGGAACCTTATATGTCATGACCATGGACGGAAAATCTCCCGAGGACAGAAACATTAGAGGAAAGGTGAATCACTGACTAACCACTGTTTTTTCACCCATCGATTTTCGTCAAAATGTGTTAAGATTAAGAAGGTAGCACGCTCAGGCTAGGAGCAGCCGAGGGTGTCACTGATTTCCCTACCACATTTTGACGTCGCCATAACAAACAAGCAAAAATTGTTATTGGTGACGTCATCCTTGCGTTTGTCCTTCAACAGATCATAGGTAAAAACGATCAAAATGCGCGCGTAATTCAGCTTATCTTAAAATTCTTGATCTCGTCTTCATTCCGTTACGAAGGTTCAAGAAGTCGCCTTTCAAATTACAAGCTCTGCGTACGTCATCTTCAAAGATCTGACATTTTTCGCGACGACATTACAAGCGCGGTCCTCCAACAAACTGGAATTTCGCTCGATTAACTTCAGTTACCCCACGTACAATCGGCGCATGCTCGGAGACACGACGCCGCCTCAATGGACGAAGATAATGTCCGGACAAGGCTCGATGAAGTTCATTAACAACACTATGTACGGAACAGATGGCATTGCATTGGAGTATCAGGGTGCCAATGATCTGGTGGAGAATAATTTTTTTGAGTACAACGATTGGAGTGGCGCAAATATGAACGTTGCTGGGGGAGGTAAAAAACTGCGTTCAGGATTTATTCTCTTTTTTTCATCGTGAGATTGAAAGGAAAAGCTATGTCTAATACCGCGATCATATTCCACTTGAGTGATCGTTCAATAGTTCCCCCAATCATCGAAAGATAGATGGCAAAAATTCCAAGAGGATGACGAGATTGTTCAGATTTTCAGGTTTAAGACGAGAGATTTGAAAAAAGATAGGACTTTTTCTAAATTTAGATATTCAGGAGAGCAAAAATTTACTATGGTTACATTAAGCAGCTCTTTTCTTACAGACTTACTAATTTATTAAACATCGGAACTGATGACCATTAAATCTTCCATTAAACGTTAGTGGCCTCTCAATCGATACTCAAAGGAATACAATAACGCACTTTCCAATTTTTTCAGTTATTTTTCGTCGCGTCCACCATTTGTGATTGAAAAACTCACATGACATTGGCGCAGAGAGCCATCCCCTTAATGCGTGTGTTTCAAGCCAAGCCCGTAATTAGCAGACTTCATAGATCTGGTTTGGAATTCCTCCTCCATACATAACCATACAATTTCTCTTTGTTATAGTTAAAACATTTAGCGTATTCTGTAATTCAAAGCTGCTCAATTCTCGTCAAAAATACTCCAATCTGCTTCGCAGTGTATGTGCAACCATTACCACTAAGAAACACAAGGTAGCTTTGGAAGTTCCCAGATTCCCTAGGGCAATCTTTGTCTCGTTGTAAAATTAGTGAGTCCATTAAGGAAATACAATTGACAGCTATATTCATGAAGATTGTTAATATTTTTATAAAGGGGCAGGAACGGTGCTTTCCCAAAGTATCGGTGACACGTTTATCAGGAACACTCTGCGTAACAACGGCGCCAGCGTCGGATTCCGTTCGGGATATAAATCACATGCTAAACTCAACGACATCAGCCGAACCTGTTATGGTATGATCCAACACGACGGCAGTGGAATACAAGTTCAGGTGAAACGTCAAACAGAGGTGCTGTTGGAGCAAAACTGGATTTACGACAGTCCCAAATATGGACTTCGCTTCGACGGGGCTCCTCCTAACATCGGGAGACACGGCACCATGAGGAGGAATGTTATTAGGAAGACCAACGGGATGATGGTGAAAGGAGATAACCACACTGTGGATCATAACTTGATCTTCCACAAATTCACGAAGGGAGGCGACCACGATGGACAAGGAAGTAAATGCAACCTTTGCGTGCTTTGGTAAGAAATACGTTTAATTCGTAAGTGGCTTTTGTTTTGAGCGTCACGCAGTACTTCTTGGAGTGGTGAGGAAACTGAAGGTTTCGCCCTATTGCATGTTCACCCCCTACTGCCTTTGTGAGTTTGTTCCCCGAAGTTAAATAGGTTCGCTCCAACCTTTACCAGTTCACACCCAAATCTCTCAAACCATTACATAATTCTTTACTGTCGAAATCATAATACATTTTTTTAACTACAGGAAGATAACTTGCAAAGGTGGTAGGGGGCTAACTTGCAATAGGGCGAGACCTCCATAAACCCGGATTGAAAGCCCCGCATTCAACTTACGCATTCTTATAGATGAGAGATTCTCGCACTACCCCTCTCCAACAAAAAGTGCTTATCAGTCGTTAGCAATCTTCGAGGCAAATCCGAGTTTTGTTCTGTGGGAAGTGTAAGAGAGGTAACCTGCGATAGATCAATATCCTATTGCGGGGCAGAAACAGAAACCCAGGTAAGCTCTGCCTATATGGTTCAGAAAAGTACCATATATTTTGGGGTTTCTAGTAATATCGCTATATCGTAATATTCCTATCTAATTCCAGTCTATGCTTCTATTCATTATTCAGGTATGTCAGAAAAAATCCAGTGTCAATCAATCATAATACCCTTGTCGAGTACAACGCGGCAGACATCGCCAATGGCGGCGTACACAACAAGAAATTATACCCCTTGAGCGGTGAACTAAAAGACAACATCATTGGTGACGTGCGAACGGAACTAATGGACCCAGACAACATGGACTTCCGACCTCAACCAGAATCCGCCTACATCCAAAACAACGTGGGTCCCTACAGCTTTGAGGAGACGAAGACAAAGTACTGGATCCCTGGAAGGCAGCTGTACAAAGCCAGCAATCCAGTCCCTCCAAATGGCTCCATTACCGTAAAAGCGGACAAACGCGACGTGTTGATGTGGTTGAATGGGTTTGAGGCGGCCACCCATTTTGTTTACCTTGGAACTTCGGCTGATGCCTTAAAGCGACAGGGCGTGGCAAGAAATGGAGACAACGTCCTGAAAATTCGGCAAAAGCTGAAAAGTGGCACGAAATACTACTGGCGGGTAGATGCTAGGGTGAACACAAAGGTTAATTATGAGGGCGACTTGTGGTCCTTTGAAACGATATAATAAATAGAGGAAGAGAAGGCAGTAAGCAATGATGCCTTGAGCAACAAGAAAAATAAATGTCAGAATCGTTTAACAAGTGTAGAAACAAATAAAAGTGATCTAAAATAAACAGCAGTTTATTAGTTATGGTTCACATTGTCGTGATAGCGACCAAACAAGTACCATGAAATAATCGAGCTGTACCATGAAATAATCGATCGATGATAATACCAATCATAACAAAAACAAATACAAAAAGATTAAGGAATAGATAACGGTGGGATATTTCCCTTATTGCGTCTTTTCACGTTGATCTACCACGCTAGCATGGCCTTTGTCTTTTCAGCGCTTATCTAACGAGAGACTTATAAACGTTCCGCTTATGTTACCCTATTCTGCTGACGCCCTCCTCAAAACATCCTAAATCTTCTAATCTTTTCATCTTCCGATTCCCTCCTCTGCCTAATGTACACTTTCTTGTAAATTTGTGAAGAGAATTTAGAGCTGTTTCGAAATGAAATTGGTGTTTCTCTACCTCTCAAGAAGACCTAACCAATATCACAAGAGAAAGGTTGTCAAACACATTGTTCCCAACCACAGCACAACTTGACTGAAGAGCTGCAGCTTTCCATTGGATTGTTGCAGGTTGTATTGCTTCACTGAAAAGTCTGCTCAGCCCATCATGGAGCATATTTTCCTTTTTTTTTATTCCTCTCTTAAGACTTCCTCCACTTTATTGTTCATCCTCTCATGAACTGCAATCTCATCAGTGACAATCTTCTTTTCATCAGGTAATGGCCTAGAAAAAAAATTATAAAACAAAAATGCAAAGATCATTTACTGGCTAAAATGTGGCACATTGTGCCAAACACAAGCTCCCTGTCTTGAACTCATTCTCACCTGATTCTGATTCTTGTCTTGGAATTATAAACTGACCTAATAGCCCTGCCTCACTTTTAAAAATAAGCAAGTTTTTTTCTTTTTTAACAAAAAAATTCTTTCTAATTTCTCACTATCACCACACCATGCTCCAGTCACACTTTTTTAGGAAAGCTGGGTTGATACACACTTAACTTTTTTTACTTCATATGCTGTTTTTTTAGACGAGGTTTAAAACAGTGTACTGTGACATTCACTTACTTATATTTGAGATGCTCTATCTTTTCTGGCATGATTGGTACTGTCTTCAAACCAGTTATTCTGTTGAATTCAGTCAGGACTTCCATTTCCTTACTTCGCATCTACAGAGTAAATGAAAATGAGCCCTTGGTGACAATCACCATGATTTTAAATTGGTGCATAGTCACTTTAGAGAGATGTAATCAGTCATCATTCAACCGCCTTTTCTTAAAAAAAATGCTCACAAGCTAAGAACTGATTGGTTTTCCCCCTTACAGCTTCCATACATTTCCTTGTAAATTGTTGAGAGAATTTTTCATTAAATCAAGAAAGCACTTTTGGGCTGACAAGTTCATCAATTATCATCAACTGCTTTTTGGATTACATATTAAGTATTGAAATGGTAAGGACATGGTAAATGTCAGAGAAGGCCAAGTAACACCCTGCGATGAACAATCTTTCGGAAACTTCTACTTACTATGAACAATTACATGATTGAGTATGAGAGAATGAAACTTAAGGGTGCTGTTCATTAAATGTTGTAGCTGCACCTCCTGTGTCTTTCTTGTTCTCATCACATTTTGGCACCATCTATGATCTAAAACTGAACAGACACAAGGCAACGTGGAATCTATTTCTTAACCCTTTAACTCCCAAGATCTCATTACTAATTCTCCTTACTGTCTACCATACAGTTCTTGTGATGTTAGTTTGGAGAATTTGGGATTGGATCAACTTATAATCCCCTAATTGATATTTTTCTTTATTCTCATCACTTGTCTGCTTGATATTGCATTGATATTGTAGAGAGAAATTCTGTCATGGTCACTCATGGGAGTTAAAGGGTTGACTACATGTACCTTATTAAGCTTCTTTTGAGTGTCATGTGTATATCCAAGCAAGTGACAAAGGCCATGGGTTATTAAAACCTGAAGTTACAAAAAACTCATTGATTTCATGAACTATTAAACAGAAAAAAAAGAGTTCAAATGTCATAGATGTTATAAAATGTATTGATAAGTGACAACTAGTGGAGGGACATACTGGTAAATAATCATCCAAATGTTTGCCATCAGCTTCGCAGTCTTCAACAATTTTTGGGGTTCCAAGGACAATATCACCCAGTGTGTAATCATCAACTGGCCTTGGAAGAGGTGGCAGAACACCAGGTGTTAAATTCTGTAGGAAAAAACCATCAGTGACATACTGAGACAATCTGAGGGAAAGTGGTTTGTTCACAATATACCTTTACCCAAGTGTTGAAGAGAGCAACAAGAAATTCACATGGTGTTACCGTATTTGTCAGCATTGAAGTCTGATTGAAGCAACTTTTAATGCCAACTTTGCGGTTCTTAATTAATTCAATCAATTTGTAAAAATTAAACTAAAAATTTCACAAAGAAATTGCCAGACAGATTGACAAATGGAAAGACTAATAGAATGACAGACTGACTTATTTACCCATAACAATTAATTAAAATACAAAATTCACAAAACTAATTGACTAACGCTTGATTGCCTGTCTAAATTTGTACTACTGACGGAAAGACTGTACTTGACAGAACTATCAGGAAGCTAAAAATGATGCTCAGAATTCCTCGTCTTCTATCAAAATTCTCATATCATCACAAAAATTCATCTTGTACTGACCTCGATGCTTGGAAAGCTTAAGATGTCCGTAACAACATTTTTCCTTCTATAACGCAAATTAAGGCTCTTGATAAATCCTTTTCCTACGAAAATGACGTTCACATCAAAATAACTGATTCGTAAAATGTCCACAAGAGTATTACAATTCTGTAATAAGCCAGGCAAGTTTAGAAGTGTTCTGCTCTGTAAATTTCTAATCAAAACTACCATATTTACTAGGCGCATCTTCTTGTATGGTGTGTAGAATGCGTGAAGTATACCACCAATTACGAAGACTCTACCAGCTTTGGCTCACCGTGATCAAATCACCCTTTCAGTATTAATTTTAACCCTGTAACTCTGCATATTATTTATTAAGTTAATCTCCATGCATTTCTCATACTTCAGCACCGTATTCTGGTTTCTGAACGTTTCGCCGTTCCAGTTTTACAGTCTCGAGTCGAGAGGGACTATATAGGTACTCATATACAAAACCCTTTTTGAACTAGTAAGCGACAGACCCGTCAGCGGTTTTCCCTAGAAGTGTTTACCTCGAATACCATTTTCCTATTTTTCCCAGAGATGAAAATATGGGGAAAGAACGCAAAAGAAAAGCAAAGAAAACCACTTCTTCAACGAAAAAGAAAGGTAACTTCTTTCTCACACAGTGTACTTTATTAAAGTTCTTGAAAATTGACAGTTTACAACAGGAGATAACAACTATGTATCATCGCGATGGCATCCTCCAAGACCACGTGCAGTCTAAAACAGCTGAATCAGAAAGCTACTTTGAGTTTTTTCCCGTACCAGAGCTCTAATTTTTTAAAACATTTTTTTCCTTTCTTTCTGTCAATTGTATGACATTTTTACGATGTGATGAAGCTACTATATGCACTTATGATTCAGAGTCAATCTGAGCTTGTAAATTTATTTGCCACAAAACACACCACCAATGAAACACCACCAACGAAAATAACCCTTTAACTCCCAGACCAAATTTTTAATTCTCCTAACTGTCAACCATACAATTCTTATGATGTAAGTTCAGAGAACTGAGTATTGGATCAACTATTTATCCCCAAATTGATATTTTTCTTTATTCTCATCACTTATCTGGTTGATATTGTATTGATATTGTAAGGAGAAATTCTGTCTTGGTCACTCATGGGAGTTAAAGGGTCAAACACTGATATGGCATGGATGTAATTAATTTCACGTTATCCATGTTGTTGTTTTTGTTGACCAATGGAAGTGATTTTGAAGAAAATTTACTTTCAAAAATCATCAGTCTTTTTTTTTCAAGAAAATTTCTCTCAAAAATCATCAAAGTTTTAAAGATATCAGTCTCAAGTGTAGCTGAAGATTATGTATACAGTCAAACCTATATCAAGTGGCACCATGTTTAAAGTGGTTGGTTTTCAAATTTCTAATTTGTTTTTTGCCCAAAACACTGTAATTCCTCAATCAAGTGGCTGTGGTCACCCTTAACAGAGTTCCAATGGCCTGTTTTTATTGTCCTTTACCTGTACTGAATGGTCACTTCAACCACGATCACTAAAAGTTAGGAATAATTTTTCAAGTAAACTTTAATCCATGTTCATATGCTGAAATCAATTTTAGTAGTACTTTTGCGTGAGTTTTTTGGAGATCAAGTGTCAGATCAAGTGTCAGTTATGGTAGAATGTGAAATTTTAAAGTAAACTTTCTTCCTCAATACAGTTGTTATTTAGGATAGCAGCATATTGATTATAGGTGTTATGTTCAAACAGGATCTTCCTCTGAACATATGCAGTTGTTATTTAGGATAGCAGCATATTGATTATAGGTGTTATGTTCAAACAGGATCTTCCTCTGAACATATACAGTTGTTATTTAGGATAGCAGCATATTGATTATAGGTTTTATGTTCAAACAGGATCTTCCTCTGAACATATGCAGTTGTTATTTAGGATAGCAGCATATTGATTATAGGTTTTATGTTCAAACAGGATCTTCCTCTGAACATATGCAGTTGTTATTTAGGATAGCAGCATATTGATTATAGGTTTTATGTTCAAACAGGATCTTCCTCTGAACATATGCAGTTGTTATTTAGGATAGCAGCATATTGATTATAGGTTTTATGTTCAAACAGGATCTTCCTCTGAACATATGTTGTTATTTAGGATAGCAGTTGTTATTTAGGATAGCAGCATATTGATTATAGGTGTTATGTTCAAACAGGATCTTCCTCTGAACATATGCAGTTGTTATTTAGGATAGCAGCATATTGATTATAGGTTTTATGTTCAAACAGGATCTTCCTCTGAACATATGCAGTTGTTATTTAGGATAGCAGCATATTGATTATAGGTTTTATGTTCAAACAGGATCTTCCTCTGAACATATGCAGTTGTTATTTAGGATAGCAGCATATTGATTATAGGTTTTATGTTCAAACAGGATCTTCCTCTGAACATATGCAGTTGTTATTTAGGATAGCAGCATATTGATTATAGGTGTTATGTTCAAACAGGATCTTCCTCTGAACATATGCAGTTGTTATTTAGGATAGCAGCATATTGATTATAGGTGTTATGTTCAAACAGGATCTTCCTCTGAACATATGCAGTTGTTATTTAGGATAGCAGCATATTGATTATAGGTGTTATGTTCAAACAGGATCTTCCTCTGAACATAATGAAAAACCTTTGACAGACTCATTAACGTCTGAGAATGGTGGTGAAACTGATCTGGTTAAAGAAAATCAGAAAATAAAAGGAAAGGCTAGATACAGCATAAAAGATCTACTAAAGCAGGTTTGTTTTTTGTACATTTCCTTGCAAAAACATGTATTTCCCAGTCTTGCACTATATGATTATTCATGAAAAATCAGAATTTCTCCTGTTTCTAAAACATGACATCTCCACCATGGTTACCAACATGGTGGTTTCATTTTTCACTGAGGTTTTGGTTTTTTGAGGTTGAAGGAGCTTCTTTCCTCTCTGAAAATTGAGTTTTCATGCTGGTGATTGTCTTTGGTTTATATTATTATGTTATCTATGTCTGCAGATAAAGAGTACTTGATAATTGAGTTTTTGCATATTTCTAATTTTTCAGGCAGAGGAGTGTCTTGATAATTTTAATTATGAATTAGCCATAAAGTTCTGTGAGAGAGCTCTTGGCATTGAACCTGATAATCTGGAAGTATTGGAAATGGCTGGATCAGTATACCTTGAAACTGGAGATATGGACAAAGCAAAATCAGTATCCTTAAGTTGGATGCTTTTGATGAAAGCTTTCAGCTCTGTGTTCAGATCATTTAATTTTGAACTTTGTGATTGTAACTTTGACTTTTTTGTCAGTCACACTTAGCCTTCAATCCCAGGGTTCCACACTGGGATCATTTTAATTGCTATGGTGATGAACCAAACATTTTGGGATTAAATTTACAGCATGAGTTGCTAATTTGGCAAACTGTGTTTAGCAGCAGTGTAGCAATTTGTAAGCTTTTATTACTCAGTTGTAATGAATTCTGAAGTCAACATGGTAAACATGTTATATGTACCTCCGAGTCTCTTAACAATACTGATGCAAACAGGTCATAGGAGAGGAGAGTTTTAATGGTTGTTAGGTGAAATAGTGTAATACTAAATTTTTATTACTACTTATCAATTGAAAAGAGTACAACAATAAGGAAATGTTTAGCCACCAGGTTCAGAGATAGTTACATGGTACAAATTAAATCATCAGAGCTTAAATTAGAGGTTAATTTCAGGGCAAGTTACATTTTATTTCTTTAACAACTGAGTGCTTTGAAAATGCTGTAAGGATATCTCCAGACCAAGGTTATTCAAAATTCATGAATCTTGGTCAGTTGTTGGAGGGTCAAGAAGCAGTTGCTGCCTTCAACAAAGGAATTCAGTTAATGATCGCTAGCAAAGATAATGACACTGCTCAAGTAGGTTTAGTTCATACTTATGGATTTTTTACCATTTTTATGGCATGCAATTGAATAGCTCTTAGAGCCAAAAATGAGCCCTTTTTATGTGGTTAGTAGCAATAACAAAATGTAGTAGATTGCTACTTCTGTGTCTATTTCCTCTGGATTAGATTCTAATTTAATACAGCACCTGCCCCCCTCTCCCTTTTTAATGCAGAGTGCTCCCAACAGATCAGATCAACAGCTCAAGATAAGTAGGAAAAACACTGGACATTTGATAGAGTTCATGTTTGTCTCAAAGTGACTTTAACTTGAAACAAACTAATTAACTTCATCTCCTAACCATGATATTGTCAGTAATAACCTTCTTTTGATACGTATTACTTGAAATTGAGTTGACATGTGTGAACTGTTTGAACTGTTTTGACTTCAGGCATCTGCAAGTGATAGCACAGCTGCATCATCCACTGAAATATCAACAGCCTACTGCTCCCTGGCAGAAATGTATCTTACTGATGAATGGTGAGCACTTAATTACCATTTACTTTTTACTTTTGCCTTTGACTTAAATAGCTGATAAAAGCTTTTTGTACATTTTTAACTGAAGTATTATTTGACCTCTTAAAAATAAAACCACTGTAAAGTGAAACCTGCATTAAGTAGTCTTCTTTGTGATAAGTGGAGACCTAAATGTACCAAAGTCTCAAAAGCTTCTTTTGATAATTTGATGATTGTAACCGAAATAGACCTGTCTGAAGGTTTTCAAAGTGGTTAAATTGCGAATTTTTTGAAAAATTAAGACTTGCATTTTATGTTAAAGTTTTAAAGAAGAAGCAGACAGCAAGTGCTATGAATGCTGTCAGAAAGCTGTTGAATTCGATGCAACCAACCCTGAGGCTTACCAGCTGATGGCCAGCTGTTTGCTGAGTCAGCAAAACATGGAAGAGGCACGGAAGATGCTTGATAAGAGTCTAGAGCTGTGGCAAGGAAAAGATGAAGAACTTCCAGAGGTTTGAGTTAAATATTTGAAGCCTAAACTGTTTAATTTATGATATTGTTTCCAGACCCAAGGTTCCGTCTCCACATGGTTAAATGCGCTTACAACATACATCAGTTGGCAGTAAAATCCCCTGACAATACATCTATGACAAGATACATGTAGTGACAGGTATCATTCTCTACAGCTAAGTGGTTTGACCAGTTCTTCATCATTCTTTGGATTTCTTTATGCCATTGGATAATGAATCATAAGCAGTTCTATGGGTCTGCCCTAAGCTGTGTTGAGAGTTGATGTGATTCTTCTCAGTTACTCACCCACATAATTGGTATTAGTTATTGACAATCATTCTGAATGTAATTATTTTAGGCACCAGTGCCCCCATATGAAACCAGAATTACAACATCAAAGCTGCTGATTGAATTAGAAAATTACGAGGTAAGAAATGAAATGAAACTGAAACCATTTAACTGAAAAATTTGTCAAATTTTGGTTACCAAAAAATAAGTTATTTACCGTAATTTCCGGTCGTTTACCCGCGGGTAATCTGTTGATTTTGCATTAAACGCGCGCCACTGCGGGTAATAGGGAGGTGCGGGTTATGTGACAATTTTAAAATCCAGTGGTAGTTGAATTGAAAAAAAATATCACCAACATGCGTTTCCACCTCTCAAGTAAATTTTATTGTGTTAATAGTGCCGCAAAGCGGCACGAAAACATGATGCCAACTCGAGTTTATTTCACGCATAATTAGTTGCGCGACGAACAAATTATTATCGGCACGCGTGAAAACAAGACCTTGATGGTGACAAAAATTATCCAAAGATATCCGGCGCATCAGTAACAAATTTCCATTTAACACTAGCTTGAGCTAAAGAGAATTTTCCCGTTTTAAGGGACTTGTTAGGCCCTATAGAACCGGAGATATCGATTTTTTCAGAAATCGCCGACAGTACTTTATAATTCAAGTTTTAATACTCACCCAGCTTTTTTTCAATAAATCAACATGGCGCTGAACGATCGCTCGCACAAAATGTGGCCACAAATTCGCATTCTGTCAAGTATGAAACGTTGAGATTTGGGCATGGGCCGCTAGTGTTTTTACTTTAGAATCTCATCAATAAAGTACATGCTAATATTGACACAGAATTGTGCACGCGTCTGAATTTCTTTGACCTTTAAACTCGACAAAGACGCTTTCAAGTTTTCGAAAGTTGGATCAGACAACTTTTAAAAGACTGAAATGTATCACCTTAATGTCACGTTTTCGCCACCAAAAAGTTGAATAACAACGTGCGGGTTATCCACCAGTGCGGGTAATCTGTTGACTTTTTTTTCGCCGTATGCAATAATCGGCCGGTGCGGGTAATCGGCCGTGCGGGTAAACGACCGGAAATTACGGTAATCCTCAGGCCACCATTATTTCCCACTCTATACTGCAGTATGCTAAACATAGTTCATGTGGGCGTCGATGAGTGTATCACATGCATTGTTTTCAGTAACGATATTACACCCTTTGTTACAGACTGCTGGTTCAGTCCTTGAAGAACTTATTGAGGAGAGTGATGAAGTTCCTCAGGTACCGTTAATAGATGCGTCAACTGAATCTTAAATCTTGTATTTGCAACTTGATGTTTATTATTACGTTTCTTCCCTTCCATATTTTAATTTTTTTTTTGAATTACATTTTACATTTGACCTCGGTTGTTCAAAGGTTAGATAACGCCATCCACTGAATAAACCTCTAACCCCTGGATAGCTATTTATCCACTGAATATCGTTATCTGCCCTTTCAACAACTGAGTCTTGATCATAGGTTTGATTCATACATTGAACAGTTACGTATTTAAAAAAAATTGTTTTGATTAACGACTCGCTGACTGAAACACATCATGTCTTTCACTGTTCACTCGGTAGGTATGGTATTTACTTGGCTGGTTGAATCATATCACAAATCAGGACAGCACGAGCATCAGAACATGCCTGGAACAAGCTCAAAAAGTACGTACGAGCTTTTATGTCTGTCTCGTAGCGTTATACGCGACACATACCAGCATTGTGTGGATGTACTGTAATGCTTAATCAAAATTGTACCTTTTTAATTTTTTCAATATCTATTTTATGAATGTGTTCTCAGCTTTTTACCCAATTCGGATGTGACGACCAGCCTATGGTGGATCACGTGACTGAGATGCTGGCAAGTTTACCCGAAGTTGAAAACCCGGATGAAGAAAATGGCGACCACGAAGACGACTCCGATCTTGATGACGGCGAAGAAGAAGAAATGGACACTCAATAAAAAAAAATGTATATTTATTTTGATTAATACCTCTTGAGACTTGGAGGATACATGGAAAGCTTTCAAGTGATGACTTCTCGAATTTTATAATGAATCGTTGACTTGGTACTTGTACCGGAGGTTATTTTGGATTACAAGAGCAAAACCCACCATGGCCTAATGACGTACAGTTACCAACAGCTTGCAAAATAATTTTATGATAAAAAATCGATTGCTATTATGTGTGAAATGGTACAGATTTCAGACGTGATTGCCCCTTATACAACCTGGTTTCTAGTCCTGAGCGACAAACATCGGCATTTCGAGCATGATCGTTACAGTTTTTGTCGTGTGCTTCTTGGTTTTCTTACATCGCGTCAAGCGTTCTTCAATTTGTTGCACATTCTAAAACCTCTTCTTGCTCTTGGGCTGTTGGTAACGTGAAAACTTCCATTTTTGTGAACTTTTGCCTTTCCTGCATGGATTAACAACTAGATTCAGTCTGTCTTGGGACATGTCTAAACACGTGCCTGTCCATACGTGGACTATAGTACCCTGGGGAAGAAACACGAAAATGTAATTACTTGATCCTTGACTTTAGCTCCCACGAGTGACCAAGAGATAACTTCTACTGACAATATCAATACAACATCAAGTAGACAAGCGATAACAACAAAGAAAGAGTATCAATTAGAAGATTATTAGGTAATCCAAAGCAAATTATACGAATCAGCATCATAAAAAATTAAATAACAGGCAGGAAGGATAGCTTTTTTGGCCAAAGCTTGTTGCTGAGTCGATTATAGGGGCAGTTTCCAAAGCAGTTACATGAGCAAGTCAAACCAAACGATAGAAACAGGGAAACTATTAATACACGAAGAGAACCACGCTACTTTTGCCCAAGGCGAAAAAACGTATGGCACCATTTTCACGCAGTTTTGGTTTATCCCGTCTGACGGCTGATCGAATAACAGAAAAGTTGAGCACTTCGGTTGTTGTTGTTTTTTTTCCCAACTTACCACTCACCAAGAAACGCAACAAACCGAAAGCAAAGTGATTTGGTGTGTCTTTTTATTTATTTGTTTATTTTTCCTCTTCGTTTTGTTTATGTTTTTGTTCTTCAAGTTTAAAGCCATATACAAGCTATACCTTCCTCTTGTCGTGTTTCCATTCCTGATTTCCCCTCAAACCATGACATGTGATCATCTCAACAAAGCTTCCCGGCTCGCTGTTCGGTGCGTCTAAACACTTGTCATCACTGAACTGAATTTCGTTCACCTTCGTCAAGGTGAAAAACTGCAAGTGGAGAGGGAGATCATCATAAGAAACGACAAATAGTCGAGTAATTGCCGATCTAAAGGGTGTTTAGAATTACTTTTTCACTACAATTGGTAGAAATGTCGCAATTTGGTTGTCCAATTTGCTGTTGTCGATCAGAGTACAGGCAACAGACAGCGCTACTGGCGTCAATGTGTCACTCAATGCCTTTATCAGCTCTCAGAATCGTTTTAATTGACGTCGATATTGAGGTTAAAATAACAAATCGACAGTTGCTGACTCACGAGTAGTACTGTGGCCACTGTGATAACAAATATCGTTGCTGATAAGAGTACAGACCACGCAAACCATTGTCAAGAACGAAGCTCATGGAAGGGTGGAGTGTTACCGCTGAAAGGTGCCTGAAACCGCTTCATGACAAGAGAAGAGTTACTCCTCCACGCATGCTCCCAAATGTCGATGAGACGATAGAAATTTTCCTCCTATTGGAAAAAACTTTTCTACACGGAACGGAGCGCTTGGTACGATGGAAATGAAGAAAGCTTGAACGAGCGCAAGTTAAGTCTAGAACTCGTTTATTACAAACACATTGTTGTGCTGTCTGAAGCTCTATTGGAAAAAGATCATGCGTTCGCTAGTTCGAGCTTCCCGCCCCCCGAAACCATTTGATGCGCAACGACTTCCGCTTAAATTCTCAAGATTTAGAGAGGGTTTTTGAGGGTTTAACTAACCACAATTTATGTACTGAAGGAAGCGAAGCATGTCGGGAACATGTTACCTGGTTTCCTCCCATGCCATGACAGGTGTACAGTCCCACACGGTCTACCTTGGCCGATTTCTCTCCAAGCGTGTCCACACATAGAGAGGAACTTGGATTTCGTATCTAATAATGGAGGTTGGAGTGTTGATTATAGAAGAATGTATGACCTGACTGCATTATGCAGGATTATTTCTACACACAAAGGTATATTAAGGGAAAAGCACAGAGATGAGCTAGTTGTGTTCTCCTAACATTCCGCGTGGGTTATTTTGTCGGTAAACCGATTCAAAGTGTGGTCTAATGCTTGAATAGCCCTGCACATTATACAAGAATCGAACCACCGCGATGCACTTTACACACCTCGCCCTGCGCTGGAGGATTGGGATCCACTGAAGCCATATCCGTGAACACGTTTTCCAGATACCATTTGAAGGTTTTACAGCCCAGCCTCTTTCTTAGCTTTACTCGCTCGCTTATGTCTCCAATATCGACGTTCTTCTCCTCATCAGTTTTCCTCCTGCAAATTGTACGAGGTCTTCAATTCAGATCAAATATGTGTTAGTGTGCCACTTTTCGTATTCTCACCGCATTTTGACGTCATCTCTGATCTACTAGTGAGCGGACACCAAGCAAAATGGAATCTACTTCTTAAATAGACTACGAACAGACTCTCTTTCATAGCGTAACCTATCGACGATTACATCGATTACATATGATTCATAACACTTCTCCATTCTTTCCGTACCTGTAGTAAAATTCCTTGTACTCGTCCAGCCATACTTCGGCCAGACGATTGAAGTTCTTCGCCAGAGTGACTCCGGTGCCTTTAGGAAACTTGTAAGGTGACGTGTATTTACGAAACACATGACCAACGCGTGAGCATGGTACGATTTCTAATTGGCCTCCACACATCCATACCTTGGTTAAAGACAAGATAAGTTGATATTTTATCACATCAATGTCCCAGCAATCGTAGAAATACGGAGTTGAGCAAAATTCTCGCACTGCATGCTAGATGACACATAAAGAAAAATCATTCCATATTTGTTTTTAATCAAATTTTAACTTTACGTCCTGTTTGTGGCATAAATGTTGTTTTCAAGAAGAATTTATTCATTCACAGTACTACTTCATAATTGCAGATTTTCAAGTAATCGACTCCGAAATTTCTTGGTGTCAAGGACAGATCTGAGGAAAGCGGCAAGGGGGGTATGTCCTTTTGTTTCTGGAACATTTATGTTTTGTTTGTTTTTCCTTTTTGGTAGCGCATTCCTTTTGAGTTAACAAAATGCATATGAGCGGCATGGTGAGGGTTGGGTATCATCACAATATTTCTAGTTATAACATGTGTCGCCTTACTCTGAAGGATAGTTCGAGGTTCTCCCCTCCCCAGATGTCCATTTGGTCGTCATATGATCCTAGATCATAAAAATACTGTTTATGCATCGAGAACAAACCGCCCGCCATAGTAGGACTCCTGAAAGGAAGGATACGCAAATGGGAACCAAAATGACAAATGAGAAACAGTAGGCATGTTATGGAGAGACATTTTCGTGAGTGAAAACCGATCAGAAACATACTATCAATTATCGATCTTTTGTCTGATCAAAGAGTCAGTTGTCTGTTCAGAATATTGGAGTCACAGTCGTATGTTCAGAGTATCAGCAGTCGTCTGCTCGGGAGTATCAGTCGTCTGCTCAACGTGACAGTCGTCTGTTCGGAGTATTAGTCGTCTGTTCGACGTGACAGTCGTCTGCTCGACGTGAAAGTCGTCTGTTCGGAGTATCAGTCTTCTGTTCGACGTAACAGTCGTCTGTTCGGATTATAAGTCGTCTGCTCGATGTTACCGAGTCATCTGTTCACAGTATCAGTCGTCTGGTCGACGTGGAAGTCGTCTGTTCGGAGTATCAGTCGCCTGTTCGGATAATATATCGCTTGTTGTGGGTATATCTAAGGCGGAATTTCAGTCGTATGGTCGGAATGTCAGTCATATGGTCGTCTGCGTGATAATCATTACGTTCGTCAGAGTTAGGTGAATTGATTCTTAAGATGGCTTCTGTTACGGTCGTCAATAATCTGGCAGTTTACAACAGCGGTGCTTTTTGGAGTTTCCCTAACAATCTTTCACCGTTACGAGCAACTGAAATCGATTGAGACCATTTTAATGGTCTTGCTGATAAATCATTCAGTTTCATGTCCATGAAAGCTGACCAAGGGAGGGTGTTACCCAGATAGTGAACAGCCTTAATTTCGCTCTTGCCTTATGAAGTCTGTTTCGTCCTCTCTTCGTTTCTTTTCCTCTTCCGGAATGGCTTTCCAGGTAAAAAACAGATCCCAAGAAAAGCCTCCGCGCTCATAAATTACGTCTGATGTTTGATAACCAAAGTCATCAGCATTTATTACTTCTATCACAGGACAAACGACATTGGTGCGATTCTGCGCAATCCGAGCCAGTAGCGGTTCTAGCCACCCTTCAGTTGCTTCACAGTGGGAGTCCAAGAAAGTCAAAACCTCTCCCCGGGAAACCTCGGCTCCGCGAAGCCGTGCTCGAACCAAGCCTTCCCTCTGGGACATCCGAATAATTTTGACTTTTTCGAATTCGCTGAGCTGCTCCTCCAAAGACATTTTAAGGTTTTCTATACGATGCAAAGGAATAGTTAAACGGTCAGATATATGTCATTCACGTTTCGAATGGCTTGGGACTGGTCATTATTTATCGACGGGAAGGGGAAAGGTGGAGGGGGGTGGTGGTTTGGAGGATTTTGGTAGTGGTACGATTAAATTTGCCTAATTACCCCATAAAGCTCATCCCCCCTTTCCCTTCCCCCCCCCCCCCCTCCCCAACCAGTCACCTCCTTACACTCTGTTGGAGACGGGTGATCATCCCCCTTCTGTTCTTCCCGAAAACCATGTGATCCACCCCCCAAAATCCTCCTCCCCCCGCTCCCCCCACTTCCTCTTCGGGTATAAATAATGGCTGATCCTTATCAAGTCAGTGTTTGTGTATTGAAAGGGTCCTTGGAGATTAATTGATAACTGGATATTGCCAAGTACAAGTTGGTGCGCACCTACAGGTTTGAAGATAATTCTCTGATTTTTACAAAGTCAAACAAGTAAGATAGATTTGCGTCCTACCGAATTCACTGAAGTCATCTACCAGGACAATGTCAGCCAGAAGATGTGGTGGCGACCTATTGAGGACACTGTGTACTGTTCTCAATAAAACAGACAGAGCCTCGTTATGGAAACAAATGATAACACTTGTAGTCGGTAAACTAGTAGGGTATTTCTTGTGTTTTTTGCGACACCTGAAACAAACGGGAAAAATAAATCATTATGTACCGATGGAGTTGTCTCTGAAACAATACTGCATTTTAATTTTGGTTGAAAGGAACTTAATTTGAATTATCTGCCAACTAGCTGATCATCGTACCTAATTTACTGTTGATAAATCCACTTGCAAAAATAATGTTACACCTCAAGATCGAATGCGTCTTGTTTCAGTTTTACGGAATACAACCTTTCGGCGACTTAAGTTTACAGTGACAACGTAAAGAAACAATGGGCTGCTTACAATTAAACTTACTTTGGCCCACGATAGTCTTTCAGAGTTCTGTCCAACGACATATGATCACTGAGAATAACATTGAATGAATGGTTATCAAAAGAGCGCTCTGCTTCGTCCTTAAATCGCGACGGTAATGTCGCTGGCTCACCGTCATCTCCTAATCCTTGTATCACTTCTGAAAAGTAAGGTTTTACTTTGGGGCTTCGCCACTTCCGCTCGGCCTCGTGAGAGGACTCGCGTGGGTACTGTCCGTGCGAACTTCCGGTCGCGTCTAACGGCACGAACGAATCTGTGTTGAAAAAGTTCATTTGGCTGTTCATGGAAGTTAAAATGTAAAGAATGTCCACTGCGAGCCAAAATAGAGAAGTTAGTATGAACACTTTCACAAACAATCTCCGATTTCTCATCATAATGAGTCAGTTCGTGACAATGATCGCAAATGTCTGTAGTGTGCACCATCCAGTCTGCGTATGTCCTCTTTACGCCCAGGCAATGGTCGATCTCGTCGTCTGGATTTTCTATTTATCGCTCGCTTAAACTGCCCGAGTCTTAAACGTAAATAAATTGCTCAAAGAATTTTCATAGCCATACCGGCTTTCAAGAAGTGAAAGAACGGCCTAACATAGTTGATAAAATATTGATACTGTTACAGGTTGTTTATCAGGTCTCAACCATTATCATCCACGGAGTTGAATTCACCGGTACCTGTCTATGGCATTCTGGGAAAATAGACAAGACTGTCAATCAAAAAATTGCGATGGAATAATAGTAAAATTCCCCAGACTGAGATGCCCGTAGACTGAAGAACTGTCAAGGCTTCGTTTGTGACGCCTCCACGTTCAGTTTTTCCCTTCGCATGAGTTTTCGTTTTAGAGAAATTCAAGTAGGTTAACTCTGTAATTCCTGAGTTAGACTAGCGTCTAACTTCTCCTTAGAATAACACCCCTTAACCAAACATTAAGTTACGAGAATACAGGAAATGATCATCAATTGAGGAAGACCTTGAATGTCAAACAAATTCTCCTTGTTATAATCGTAGGAAATGTGTAGAGAACAATATGGAGAATATGCATACTGATGTCAGGGTGTAGAGGGTTACGGTAGGTTGTGCCTGAAATCCACAACGACACGTTTAAGGTCGGCGTTGTTTAAGTTCTGTTATCAGGTTATCAGAAGCGCACTCCGGTCTCAAACGCCAGTCCTTGTTTCCAAGCTCCCCTTCCTTCTTGATAAAAGGCCCTGGAAATCACAATGGCTACGTCACTAACATCATGTGAAGTCTCAACCAGTTTCAATATGACACATAAACGCTCGCTTTGACGCGTGAAGGTGCTTCTTGCAAATTAGTTCAATATCGCTCTTGCAAGGCTTTCCCAAAATTTGTTGTCAAAGGGACGCCTATAAGTACTCTCTTCAATCTACCACAAAATGGTTATCCACAAGGGAAGATCTTCAACACAAACGAAATACTAATACTTCAGTTATTGCTCTTTTATTTGTCTTTCAAAGATAATTTAAGTTTTCAAGCTACCATCTGTTTCCTGTTCCATTCTAATTTAAAATGTAATACCAGTAGCAAACAACTTAACTCGGGTTCCCCCAGGAATGAAAACCTTTTACATGAAATTGTAGCATTTACACTGTCAAAAGATTTTAAAACCTGCTGACTCAAAGTTTGTTGCAAAGAGTAAAAGAAAATAGGCAGCCATATTTAAAATGTTTTACTAGAGCCGAGTTATGTACCCGCATCTACGGATAGATTAAAGCAGGGCGTTGTAAGTAATTAGGAAAAGCTTGGATGTTTGACAAATCTCGGTTCAGTCGAAGCCGCTAGTTCCTCACGAAGACTATAATAAGGCACAAAGCCCACAATCAGCCAATCAAATAAAAAACCATTAGGCATGCCACACGCGTTTTCCCGCGATTTGTGGAGATTACTTATTGCGATTTCATTAATTCTTTAAGTCTTTTTCGTAATCTGTGATTAGCTATCGTGTAATACTCGGTTAAGAACCTCCAAAACCCAACCCTCTAAGTGTCACAGAAATAAAACACTAAACGAAGAAGCATCTGGACATACAACCAAAAAAAACAAAACAAAATATTGATCAGGGATTAAACAGCAGTTTCTCAGGCTTGGAATAATTCGAAAAAGAAAGGTATATTGCTCCCGAGAGCAATATTTTGGTAAAAAACAATTCGCGAACAATTAACAACGAAAACTGGAACGACTAACTTCTGATAAGAAAGGGAATAAACAAGTACCATAACTGGGCTCATGTGACTGCGCGGCGCAGAAAACGGATACTGCCTTACTCTTAAAGTGAAAAAAAAAAACCTAGCACACGAGGCCAAAACTGTTTGCGCCAAGCACTATAGTACATATTTAAGATGCGTCAACGCATTTTTCGAACTGTTATGGTTATTACAACTTAAGTTCCTTTAAAGTAAAGAGCAGCTTCGTCCACACGGTGATATTCTGCCTCGTTTTAGCATCCCAGTTACCTTTCATCTTTTGGTAGTTTGCCCCTCCAAAGGAGCATCAATAAGACAATGGAGAACAAACATGGGTCAGGATAGACAGATGCAACTGACGAACAATCAGGCTAAATTTTCAAGATGCTGATCGACAAACGGAGGCGAAGCTTCTCTCAGCAACGGCAACATTTAAATGAACATTTAAGTAATTCAGCTGATATTTAGTTCGACGAAAACGAAGTTAGTCTGGAAGAGCCAACATCACAGGTTTCTAGAGAGCTGTTTTCCCTGAATGACCTCTTTGATCTCTTGCAAGTCAAGAGTCTCGTACTTCAACAGAGCTTCGGCTAAACGGTTGTGTTCCTTAGAGTGAGTCTGTAGTATATTCTTCGCTCTTTCGTATGAGTCCTAAAACACAACACAAGGATTATTACCCTCTCAAGTAAATTACTAGCAGTCAACAGCTAACCCCCCCCTAAAAAACGGAAAAGCCTTTTGATTCCAATATCCCAAAGTAACTTCCATTGATTTGTTTTCATTTGGGTGTTACGTCAAAATCTGCAACCCTTCTTTGTTGCTTCTTGCCCCTATTTATCTGTCATATTGACGATGTGCTGATATTATGAAGTAAAAATGACATGTTGATCACTTTTAGGAGTGAAAGAGTTCAAAGTCTTCGAAAGTTTGGTTGTTGTTCACTGTTTATTACTTTCAGCTGGGAGGATGACACAATTATATTCTCACGATCGACATGTTTCTCTTTCTCCGAGTCTAATCACCAATGCCGCGTTATGCAAGATATATTCAAACTCTTTCCGAGAGCAGAAAAAAGTAGAATATCTATACTATCTACTTCTACTATCTCCTTCGCATTGTTGCACAGTTAGTCGCCTTGTGGGGACAGCTAACCTAAATTCTTGCCTTTTGGTGATTGCATAAACGTGGTTACCCTTTGTAATATTTTTTGCTCACCTTCAAAAGCTGCTTGACTTCACTTTCAATAAGTGCCTGTAACTCAGGACTCGATTTCGAAACATCCTTCACTTGAACCATACCGACCTGAGAGAGCAGAAAGAGATATATACATTCGTCTTCCCTGACTCTAATGATTTAGTTACTTCTACAATATAACAATTGATGAGAAGCGTTGCGAGAAACTTGGCAGCATAAGCGACAGAAAACCTCTCCAAAATTGGCCTTATAGATAAAGAACGACGATAGAAGGATAAAATGATAAACTGGATGCTTGCATGATTTTTCGATTGCTCTTCTTGCACAATCCGCCATGTTGAACGCACAACTGTTGACATCAAAGCAAGGCCAGTTGTGGTCAAACTCATGGCGGCGTTGCTAACTCTTTGGGTTCTCCCGAGTTTTCGCTGCTGTCGGGGAAGGCTACATGTGTTCCATGGGAACACTACTCACATGGTCTACACGAAAACTCGGAACACACATTTCCTTTCGAGAGACTACTTATAAATGACTTCCAGAAGCTTCCCTCTCTTTCTACTTATTGTCACTTGTTCCAATATGCTTAGTCCAAACAACGTGTTGTATCTCCTAAACGTACCTTGTCACTCATGCCGTACATAGACACCATGGCGTGTGCAATCTTGTTTGACGCTTCCATGTCGCTTGCGGCTCCTAACAGATACATAATCAAATAAAAAATTTTTTTTAAAAAGCGCAAAGGGACTGTGTAAAAACACCTGCTCATGAAGCCAACATTATTACAGAGAAATAATCATCTAACCTCCGTGCACTAAAGCCAGTTTTCCTGACTTGTGTCTAAATACATTGAACGTGTGACATTCATCTTACAAATAAGCTGTAAATTACACGCAGCCTTGTCACGTACCCATTGTGATGTTCTCTTTGCCAAATATAATTTCCTCTGCCACACGGCCGCCCATTGCCACATCCAGCCGTGCTAGAAGCTGGGCTCTAGACCAGTTTAACTCGTCTTTCTCAGGGAGCATGGCGACCTTTAAACAAAGAAGAAGAATGTGTTGAGTTACAGAGTAATTGACCTGTCTACCCTCTTTTCTTCATGGATACTATCTGAAGGTTTTGCTCCATTGGATTTCTTTTAAATTAAGGTTAGGAGGTTGAAGATCTCGGCGGCACCTTGCATAAACTTTTCCCCAGGCAAAGAAATGCTGCAAAACGTTTACGAACATGATACTTACCATTCCCAGGGACTGACCCCGCGGCACAATGGTTGCTTTATGTATCGGCAAAGCTTCAGGAGTATAAAGCGCCACGAGCGCATGTCCTCCCTCGTGATACGCCACAAGTTCCCTGTTCTTGGCTTCAATGACTTTACTTTTCCTTTCGGGACCTACAGCAATACGAGACAATATTGAGCACAAGCAAACCCACGGACCAGTGGAACACGCACTGGCCTCGTTGTGTGCGCGTGGGATCACGGATTGAAAGGTCTCGTTTTGAAGAATGATCAGGCAGTTCTCTCGTGTTATCCGATCCAGGAAGAGAGGAATACTACCAATCACATCATGCTTAGGAAACACGGATAAGCTCAAGCATTTAAGCCATTTGGATGTAGGGGTCGTAAGACTTCACCTAAACCTTACCATCAGTTTTAGACGGCTTACATTGGATACTTTTCGGTGAAACATTGTACAAAAACAAAATAGTTAAACTAAATATGCTAACGAAAACACTCATCAGAGATGAATACTAAGCCAAAGAATGAAAAAGAAAAACGACCGTCAGGATGAAAAGAATACTACCATCAACAACAAACCATGACATTGTAGCTTGTACGAGTTCGTCAAATTCTAAGATTGACCAGTCGCAGTCTCGGTGAGAATTTTTGAGCTTATTACTTCCCATACGCAGTTTGGAGCTCATGCAATTGAGCTGACAAGGCGGCGATTGAAAAAAAAAAAAAAAAAAAAAAAGAGAAACAAAGGCAAATTAAAGATAAAGTAAAGCCAAACTTACCCATGATGATTTTGTCTTTAGCGAATTCAAGGTGCTTCGTTGAGACGCTCGCATCTCCTTCACTTGCTGCATAAATTGCTGCCACATTCACCATGTTGGCTAAATCAGCACCTTTATAAAGAGAAAAGTCCA